ATATAGAGATAGAGAGAGACAGAGAGATAGTAGTATATATATATATATATGTATATATTATATATATATATATATATATATATATATATATATATATATATATATATATATATATATATATAAAGATGACTCTGCTTCTATATCTCTGCTTCACCGATGAACCCGATTTATGCTTTCGCACGTGTAATGCTTTTGTAGGAGGGTGAATGAAACACCTACCTATTATGCCAACATACTTCATGTGCCACCTAGCCTCCAATCTCAGTAAGCAAGAACCTACAAACAACGGTACGGGCTCGACTCTCAATCTGCCATGTCACTTATCTACTAGAATAAGGCCTTTCGCCTCTTCTATGTCTTCTAACTAGGAGTCTCTTAACCTGGGTAAGATTCATTAATAGTGTTACAAGTACACACATTACAAAATTATTATACATTTTTTCAATGAATCATCTCTTTCTCTTATATTCCGATTGTTGCAGAGTCTCTGCCGGGCCAAAATTATGGTGTTAGGTGTTGAGTGTATATTTTACACTCAAAACATGTCTTTTAAGATAACTTTTGGGAAGATATTCTTTACATTTGGTATTTAAAATCTTGATTTGTTGGGCGTTAGGTGCGAATTGAAGAACCGGACAGAGGGAAGATCAAAACGGTCAAAAAATGGAGCAAAATCGGAATGAGCCAAGTCAACATACAAGAAAGAACCCAGACGGCCGTCTGGATTTCTTCTATAAATCTCATACGGCCGTCCAAATTGCTGAAAAGGGATAGTAGTTCTCTGGAAGCTAAGTGAGACGGCCATTCTAGTTTTTATACTATACTTCGGACAATCGTCCAAATTGGCGATATGCGCTGTAAGGAAGTTTTATCTGCACAAGAAATATTTTGCTTCCACGCCAAGTTTTGACCCCTATATAAGGGAAACACCAAGCACGAAAATAATGGTCCTTTTACACAATCTTATAACAAATAACTACAAGCGAAGACGAAGATAATCGAAGATTCAAGCATAGTCTTTATTGCTTTCTTTATAAACTTTGTTTATTTGATTTTTAGAATGACTGTGAGTAACTAAGCTTTTATTTCTAGGATTTTATTTGGACCATATGTAGGATTGTGTGAACCTAATTTTATGATTTTATGCAAATTTTAATTTCAGATTACTTCTTCTACTTGTTTTATTAAGTGCATGAAAGTGGCCACTTTATGTGCTTACTTGTTATTGTCGAATGCATGAATTCGAAGATCGGTTTAACAATTAAAACTGCAGTAGGAGAGCCTTAGTGGTATTAACATAGGAATATAGTTAATCTCTTAAGTAGCCATTATTGAGATTTTTGCTTCATTTTGTGTTATGTATTTAATTCCATTACCTTACTTAAATAAATCATCTCTAGAACGGATTGGTGCGGCCTTGGGAAACGTTCTCTTTGTTGATGACCGCATGCTAGGGCTAACACATTCAATGTCTGCATGGGTTTGCATTGAGATTGATGTCTCTAAGCCATTGCAAGAGAAATATTTGTTGGTGTGTCGAATGAGAAATTAAAGGATGGTGGCAGAGTATTAAGTATGAAAGAAATTTTGGCTTCTGCACTCATTGTGACTTATTGGGCCATGTTGAAAGCACTTGCCAAAAACTTAGAAATAATAATGTACGCAATGGTATAACAGTTGGGAAAAAAAAACAATAAAAGGGCTATGCTCCAAAACTCCTACGTCGCCCAATCCAAGGTACTTCTGCTGCAGTTTCTACTCAACAAGAAACATTGCACGTCAGAAACATGATCAAAGAACGATGGAGAAGAATCTTCACAAAAGCAAGAAGGGGCAGATACTCAACCCTCTTTGGAGGGTTTGACTTAATTAATACCCGTGATGTTACTGGTCAATATGAATAATGGAGTGATGACTATACATAATTGTACTGGGGTTGATGTTTAAAACAATGAGGAAAAAATAGAAGAACTACAAAAGCTTGATAAAAGATGATCAAGTAAGTATAGGATGGATTGAAGGGACACTCTTCGTAGCAAACTGGATCCTTAATACCTCTCGCAAATCAATATAGTGCTTTGCAATGTGATCAAGAAGACCAGAATCTTAGTCTTACGGATCCTGAAGGTGATCAAGAAGACGAGGATAACAATACTTCACCTAAATCTGATAGTGAGATGATTGTAAAGAAGACAAAACACGCTTATAACAAGAAACAAGTTCCACCTAACACGTATCACCATGAAAGATCGCCAAGAAATCAAGTACCTTACTTCTTTGTTGATATGTCAGGTGTAGTTTGAAATATTCGGGGGTTGCTAATAAAGAATCAGTGAATCATTTGAAGAGTCGTATTTGTCAAACAAAATGTAAGTTTTTAATTTTTTTGGAGCGAAAATGTGCTCAGAAAAAGATCAAAAGAATTGCATTTTGATTAGGCTTCCAGTGTTTCATACATGGTGAAGACGTGAATACATCATATGGCTATTGTGAAAAGGGGATTTTTCAAGTGGAATTAATGGATATTCACAGCCAACGCATCACAGTTAAAACTATGTATTTGCATAATTCGCCTTTTGTAAGTGGATTTGTCTATGCCAGTTGATGTACGGATTCGGTGTGAGTTATAGAGCCATCTAGCAGATTTGATGTGTCTAAATGATGCTTGGATAGTGATAGGAGACTTAAAAATGATTGCAAACATACATGAGAAACAAGGCGGCAAATTTGTTGAGATTCACAGTCTTCATGATTTTCAGAACATTATAAGTCAAGTAGGATGGCATGATGCGAGTTTTAATGACTGTAAAGTTCACATGGTGCAATAATATAAAGGGCACAAACTGGATATTACGAAGGATCAATAGGGCGCTTATAAATACAGAATTCCAAGAATTATTCCCATCGATAAAGGTTCACCATCTTCAACGGGTGTGTCCTAATCACTATCCCCTTCATGTTACGATCACACTGGAACCGAAGAAGAAAAAAATAATCTTTATTTTCCAGAGATATTGGCTGAGCATGGTATATGTTGGAGCTAAATACCTAACACGCAAGTGCACGTATCGCAGACAAGTAGTAAAAGTGGACTCGTGAGAGTTGGATGTCGATCCCACAAGGAATACTCAAATTACCTAATCCTAAGTACCAAATTCTAACAATTATGTTTTTTATCCAGCCTACGCAAGTTTGTCAATTTAAATCAATTAAACAATTAAACTAATTAAGAACGCAAATAATCACGAGAAAATATCAATATAAAAACGGATCTAGGATTTTATCTTCCCCCTATGCGATAATTCAATACCCAAGTAAACCTCTATCATGCAAGTTACGATTCCTGATTATTAACCCAAGACACTAAATTACTCATACGTTGTCGCGTGTATTATGAGTCTATTATTCATAAACGATTCACTATATGTCTATCCAAACCAATTATGAATAAAACATTAAATGACAAATCTCGTAACGGCTACCTAAGGTATTATCTGTATGTCTACGATAACACATGCAATAAACACACTCATCCGGTGAAAACTAGTCGAAGGCTCTCCTATCCTTGTTCTAATTATTAAAACGATCTGTCAATCAATTCTAACAATAACATATAACAACATAAATTAGCTACGTTCATGCGCTAAATAAGATCAAATAGAAGAAATAATCAAGGAATTTAAACTTGCATAATATTAGAAAAAATAGGTTCGAATCACCACATAGGGTTCCAACAAAATCCTAGATTAAAAACTTAGCTACTCATGTTCTCTACGAAAAGCATAATAAAAATACGATAAATCATAAAAGTTTTAAAATAAAAGTAAAGGGAGAACTATGATGAAGATTCGTCAAGTCTTTGTCTTGGTTGCTCCGTTCTCTTGCTCCTAGATTGTGTGTAAAAAGATAAGAGATCCAATTGTGTGCTTGACTTGGCCTTATATAGGGTGTAAAAAGATAGGAAATCGGTTTCCTTGTGTAATTAGACTTCCTTCACTGCGCCTCCTCGTGATCTCGGACGGCCGTGTCAAAATTAATACTGAAATTCGGACGGCCGTCCGGGCTTCAATTCTTCGAAGTTTTGATTTTTTTACTTTTGGCCCACTTTTTCTCCGAAATTGCAGTTTTTACCCCATAAGTTTTCAATTCTTCAATTTGTACCTAAAATACAAATAATCAACATTTTAAGCACCAATTATCGTTAAAACACACTAAAAGCTCCAATTAAAAGGTACGATTAAGTGTAAAAATATACACTTAACAGTATATTTTATGACACCGTTAGGGATGCTTGGCAAGTATCACTCATTGGTACACCATGGATTATATTGAGTCAGAAGCTATATTACCTTCAACAAGCGCAACAGGGTCTATATGCCAATCTTAAAATGAAATTGCAAGTCACTCCATTTACCGGTGTAAGGTGGGAAGGCATGGTTTTCGATCTCCCTCTTGTTTTACACTAATGATATTCTCCTTTTTACGAATGGGTCTAGCTCCTCGATCAAGAAATTGTTGCGGGTCATTAACTCGTATGAGAAATCCTCTGGGCAAAAAGTGAAGTTGATCAAAATTGGACTCTACCTTAGCAAGCACACATTGCATAGACAAATGGTGATTGAGCGGGAATGCAAAATTAAAACGATTTTTTTCCTTTAACCTACATGGGCACCCCATCTCTAATAAACGGATACAGGTGGAACATTATGAAGCTTTGATTGATAATGTTTGGAAAAACTTAGAAGGATGGAATACACAATTGCTATCTCTTGGTGGCAAAGTGACGTTGATAAAATCAATACTCTCCCTAATGGCTTGCACTAACATACCAAAGAGTGTCGGAAATAGGATGTTGTGAATTTAAGCCACAAAACCATCAAAATCAATAAAACACTGCAGACTCTCAGTTGAACCAATAGCTGAAGAAAACACATACACGGTGCCCATATATAATGCAAAGCAATAAACAATAAACAATAAAGAAGACAAATATTTATAGTGGTTCGATCTTTATTACCACATACTTATATCCACTGTCCAACACTCAATATCACCACATCTAATCTCCTAGTTGTTGCAACTGTTCCCAGTGTTTACCTCACTTTCACTCTTGTTTACCAACCCAATTCTCAGATTCAACCTATGAGAATTTTCCTTGATTTCTTAACCTCCAAACCACTAGCTCTTGTTGCTTTACACTCGACCTACCCTTGCTAATAGCAGACATGGTCCCCAAGATTCCAATGTAAAATGGACAAGTGTCATCACCACAAGAAGTGATCGTTGTCTTCTTGTCTTCTAGAGTAACAACTCTTATGCACTTTCCAGCTCACTCATTAGCTTCATTCCAACTAATGATGTGGAAAGAACATTCACATGGCTTGTACATGTGGATATGATTCATAGATAACAGATGATAGGGAAACTGGTGGCTTTCTTACTTTGGAGCCCCAAAGGCCAGTCTAGACATCATTGGGTTCGTTGGAGTACTGTATGTTCCCTAGAAATAGAAGGTGGTTTGGGAATAAGCTCTTGATGTCCATTCTTCGTGTTAAAATTCTATGGCAGTTTCTTAAAAGTAGCTCGTTATGGTCGAATTTTGTGATGTCAACATATTTCGCCAATGGAAAATATAAAACGGCTAGTGGAGCAGACACAAATCTATGAAAATCTCTTCATTATGAACCCATGCAACAAGTTTCATGATGGATAATTGGCAGGGATGACGTCAAATTCTGGACCTCTAATTGGACTGGAATGATTCTTCATGGCCCTCTCCCATGCGATCACACTCTTATTGTGCGCGAAGCTTTTGACGAAATTTCCTCTTTTCTGCCTTTGACTGAGGAGCACCTTCATGGAGCAATTACCAGTATGCAGATCGACCCACATTCCCTAGAACGTTTGGTTTTCACCTTGAATCCAATGAGATAATTTTCTACAAAACATTACTGGGATTTTTTTTCGGGAGAAATGGCCAAATTATACATGGCCTAAATGTATTTGACCTCGAGGGTACCATTAAAGTTGAATGCGTTTATGTGGAGGCTGTTTCTCCATGCCATTCTGGTGGATCAACAAATTCGTGCTAAAGGGATTAATTGTAACAGTCCAAAATTGAAAGGCACAAAGAAACATAAGTAGGGGTGCGACACTTCTTTAAGTCAAATAGCATTTTTATTTAAATAATAGGTTTAACACCTATAAGTTGTACTAGATGTACTAGTACCTTGGTAGAACTTTATATGAATTAGTATGTATAAATATTGAGGAATCATCTTTTCAATTACAACTGGACGTGAAATGAAATGTGTTGATATTGGTTTTCTTCTCTCTATTCTCATATGAGTGTGTGTGGAGAAGGTTCCGGGCGATTTTCAACCCCAATCACACCTGGCCCGATCCGCTTAATTTTCCATTAAAAAATGTCATTACAATTGGTATCAGAGCCATCAATCCTTGGCGGATCTAGATCCTTTAGAAAAATATGAGAGAGAGAGAGAGAGTAAAATGACTACAGTTACTCCATACGATGAGAAGCACAAATAGATGGGTCAAGGGAAGGGAAATATGCAGTTTATTGGTGATGGAAACAAAACAATTATGGAAGAACTCCATGCCGCGATGGCATTAATGATGTCTAAATTGTAGAATTCGGCACATCTCTATGTTGAAACTTCACGGGGGACAAGGCCAAAAACTTGTGAGATCCCACATGGGTCAGAGTGGGGGCATGAGTATCAACTTCCTAATAAATGTTTGTCAGTGGAGTTTCCTAAATTCAATCGATTAGATCTACGAAGTTGGGTTTTCAGTAGAGATGATGATGCATTTAGATGGACATGCATCAGATTGGCATTGGAGTTCTATGAACGCAAGATTTACGAGGGAGCTGCCTAATTGGGAGGAATACATTCGAGCTTTACATGACAGGTTTTGGTCCCTACTTTACGAAGATCCTATGTATGAATTGGTAAATTTGAGGCAAATAGGAACTTATAGAGATTATGCCGACAAAGTTGAATTGTTGTTGAGGAATGTAGAGTTGTCTTAAACTTATGTTGTGAATTATTTTTGGGTGGATTGAAGACTGATATTTCTCTTCAAATCCACATGTTTAAACCAAAGACTATGATGTAGGTGGTTAGCTTGGCTAAGTTGCAGGAAGATGCCTTAATTTCTCTTGGCAAGAAAATAACGATGATTTCAGCTTATCTCTGGATTCTATAGTTGAGATTCATGCAGCTAAATACTTGAGAGTTGATACTATGGCAGATATATCTAGTGAAGGAGGTAGTCTTGCAATGAATGAGCTGGTGGTTGATGAAATTCCCTTGAGAGTATCAATAGAAATTGAAACTGAAAATCACATGATGAAATTGGTTAATGGAAAAATGGAAAAATGGTGACTGACATGGAAGAAGTAATGTTGTTTGATGAAATGTCTCCGGGAATGTCGGTGAAGAATGAAAATGAAAATGAAATTTGGAGGATAAAATTTCCTATTGCAAAAGACACATTTGAATTTGGAGAATCAAATGCATTTCAGAAGATTTGTGCAAGTGCAATGGGGGAAGAAGAGGGGTTAATGGTGAATGAAACTGGAAACTACATATTGGAGTTCTTTAGCGTGGAAAACATGATCCCAACTCCAAAACAAAAGATGTTGATTCAAATGCATGAGAATGGATTTCTGTGTGGTGGATTATCTATTCTAGAGAATAACAGTTGGAACATATTATAAATGCGATGCAAAAAGTACTTCGCCCACCACCTGAGCCTCCTCCACGAAGTTGTTGCTCCATTATCGGTGATAAATCGGAAATAAATCAGTTTTTAAAATTAAAAGTTGCTTGGAAATCCAACTTTTAAGCTCGATCCACAATGAAAAGTAAATATTCACAGTTTATGGAAACCATCTTCTCCATTACAATCGGACGTGAAATGAAATGTGTTGATGTTGGTTTTCTTCTCTCTATTCTCATCTGAGTGTGTGCGTGGAGAAGGTTTCTAGCGGTTTCTAAGCGCCCCCGACCCAATCCAGTTTATCTTCAGTTAAAAAAGGTCGTTACATTAATATTGCCTCACATTTCGGTTTTTGTAAAACCATGATGGGAGAATCGATGTAGCATCTATTCCTTAACTCTGATATTGCGCAAAAGGTTTGGGATCACTTCGGGAGAGTTTTTCATAAACCCACGACTTACTCATCCATTACTCAGGCGATTGCACTATGGGTAAACACCTCGTCCATCAAGTCCCAAATCAAAAATTGCTTACAAGGAGTTAGTACTCTTTATACCTCTTGAAGCGTGAGGTAGGCGCACTAAACGAAGCTAGATTGCCACGAAAACCAATCCGTGCAATCCGGGGCAGCAACAGCGAAGCGGCAGCGGCGATGATCCGAGCTACGGTGGCGCGTCTGGTTCACGCGCTGTCTTCGGGCGGCGCGTGGAGGCGCGTGCGTCGTCAGCTCGGGGGTTGCTCCTTGATTCTTCGATCTTCCTCCTCTCGGATTTCACCTCGTATACTTCGATCTACTAAAACCTGGCACTAGACACGCAGTAGTTAGAATAAACGGAAAGAATAAAAAGGAAAAGGATCTACCACGATTAATCGGCTAAGGGGAGGCCGATTCCGGCGAACAAACGGCGACGACGGCGGTGGTGGCCACGGGTGAGATCGGCCGAGAGACAGAGGGAGCGGCTAGAGTTTCGTGTGTGAGTTGTCTATTTGTACAAGACCTATAAATCAAGTATTTATAGTGTCTTGTATAAAAACCTAACGGGCTTAAGTTGGACCGGGCCCAACAGCTTAAGTTCGTTAGTTCTTTTACTCGATCGTCTCTCTCAATTCAATGATCGGAAAATTGTAAGAATTACATTTTCGGAATCATTATAATGTCCTCGTCATTACGAGTGCCAATTCTCAATTTCAAACTTTCTAAAAGTGGAAACCCTAATTCAGTGCACTTTCTAAATTTGGCAACTTCCCGATTTAGAAACTCCACTAAAATGTTCGCCTATTCTTTTCCTTTTCTTATTCTCATTCATAATTCCAAATTATGAATGTTGGACCCAATCATATTGATTTCCAATCATGCGAAGATAAAATATTTTTACCTTTGACCGTTTATTCAAAGATCTCATGCGCACGAGCAGAGTGACCCTCGATGGTTCAGGTGTAAGCTAGCCGTGGGCCCACAACCCTTTGTGGTCAAAACTCGTCCCTTAGAGTTATGATTAAGATGAAGCTCGTTTCACCTTAATCACCCAACGAATCAAGATTGGCGTCTAGCAACTACGCGTCATGATTCCCTAGATACAAATGAAGTGCCTGCAAGAACCTTTTGATATAGTTAGCATACTATACGATCTAGGGGTGGTAAACGAGCCGAGCCGGCTCGTGAGCTCGACGAGTTGGCTCGTAAAAAGCTCGAACTCGGACTCGAGGTTTTCGAGCTCGAGCTCGAGCTCGCGAGCTCGAGCTTTTTGACGAGCCGAGCTCGAGCCGAATTTTAGTTGTTCACCGGCTCGCGAGCCGGATTTATTATTTTTTTTTTTTAATTTTTTTTATTTTTTATATGTTATTTTAATTTAAATAATGTATAATAATATAAAATATTATAGAAATAAATACAAATATTAAAAAAATATATAATCACAATTTAGTTTTTATTTTGTATTTTTTAAAAATAATTTTTAATAATAAAATAATAATTAAAAAATATTAAAAAAAAAAAAAAAAAAAAAGAGAGATTGGGCTCGAGCTCGAGCTCGAGCTCGAGCTCGACAAAATTAACACGAGCTCGAGCTCGAGCCAAAAAAAGAAGAACTCGACGAGCTCGAGCTCGAGCTCGAGCTCGACAAAATAGACTCGAGCTCGAGCTCGAGCCAGCCAAAAGAGGCGAGCTCGGCTCGAGCTCGGCTCGTTCACACCCCTAATACGATCCATTCGATTCATATGTCCCGATTGAACTAGAGGCATTGGTTTATCGAGACCTCCTTAGTAGCTCAATGACTGTGCGATCGTTCTAAGTGTTGTAATCGTTACGTGCATGACTTAGAGATTCGAATTCTCTTATCATCACCTAGTCAGCTCTGGCCAGAGACTTAGAGAGATTACAAACTATAAGAAAAAACAGGACATCCAAGACTATTCTAGCGATCGAATCCTCGACTACAATGCACAGACCTCTCACTAGATTTCGGACTGCACGGACGCTGGCCCTTGGGGTGGTCCTCGGTGGAACTCAGGGACAGGTCACGATACAGCTGGTCCTCTAGTGAAGTCACAGTGATGTCTAGGTCATAAGGACTAATGGTGTACAACTATACCATAGATATCTCTAATCGATTATTGAGAATCACTTAGAGATTTCTAGGGTGAGGGAGTTCAGTGAACTCGTCAACTTACGAGCACCCACTTATGCATGCCGATATCACAATACCGTTTACTGATGAGATGCAGTACACATACACTAAGTGCTAGTCTCTTAATGGGAAAGGCCGATATCCTCATTGGTGGCGTAACCCTTCGACTAGGAACATGTTTAACAGTAATAATACTTAAGTAAATATCTCACGATCCTAACGATCAATTACTAGTACTTGTAATAACTGTAAGGACTATATCTATGCTTGTGAAAAATGGACAATGATATAGAATGACAAGGTGTTTTATCATTAATACGAAAAAGGTTTGTTTATTACAATAATAAATATGAAAAACCAAAGCCACATGTTGGCTTGTTGGTCACCTACTCTAACACTTAGGTCGTCAACATCAATGGACCGATCGTATTTGGGGAAGTTCATAACACCTAAAACTAGTGGTTTTATTTGGAAATTGATGCATCATGCATTGTCGGTGGATCAACGTGTAGTATCGAGGGGAATTCCTATGGTCTCTAGATGTGTTTGTTGCCAAACTCCCAAACAAGAAGACATAAATCACTTGTTCTTCAACTCCGAGGTGGCTAGACAGGTGTGGCAGCGATTTGGCTCCCTCTTCCACTTTCAAGATCAGTTTTCGTCGGCAAAACATGCATTAAATGTATGGATTCCAATTCCCAAGAACCTATCTTTCTAAAATATTGTTCGTGCCTCGGTGGCCTGCAATATTCTTCGAGAACTTTGGGTTGCTCGATGTAAGGTGGTATACGACAGCGGTAAGATGACAAGTGCCAATATTATCCATAGATTTTTTTATCACGTCCAGAGCATGGGCATGGTACATGTACCAAGGGAGCCTTCCACGAAAAATCAACGGTTACAAGTGGAGGCTGGGGGTTTTTGATTTTATCCAATACCAGTGAAACGAGAGGCGTGATATAAATGGGAATATCCGAGCATTGGAGAATATAAACTTAATACGGATGGTTCGGCTACGGCAGAGCACTGTACTGGTGGAGGTATTATTCGAGACTCGGGAGGACATCTTGTTGCTGACTTTTCTACATTCTTTGGCATGGGTTCAAATTACTATGCGGAATTCCTAGCAGTAGTTCATGGGCTGAGATTATGTAAATTGGTGGGAGTTACTTCGGTTACGGTTGAATCTGACTGCTTGTTGGTCATAAAATCCATTGGGACGAATACGGTTGCCTAGGATCTTGCATACGTTCATCGACTTTGCATGCAGGAGGTCGATGCTACTTTCCGTTTTCAGCATATATTTCGTCAAAAAATATGGTTGCTGATTGGCTTGCAAACTGGGCGTATACGCACAAATCAAGTCAAGAGTTTTTTGCCGCCTCTAACTTACCGCCAGAGGTAAGGGCTGCCTATACTTGTGACAAATTGGGAATAGCGAATTTTTGCATTTGATGAGTGCTGGAGGATGAAGGTTCGACATAATGCACTTATTTACATTTTGGTCCTTTTTGGGGACTATTTCGCAATTTTCAGAAGTGATGCGCTGGGTGCTTTAGTCAGGCCTCCTATGCTGGATTAATTATAGATTAACCCACATCTGGGGGGCTAACAACAATAATACAAACTTTTATTGGGTTTCTAGAATTAGGACTTGTAGTTCCTTTTATTTCACTTTTTACCCCATTTTGGGGTTGTATTGTAATAGTCTAGCTAGATTAGACACGGAGATTTTATTACCATTGTAGGGGTACTCTTTTCCTTGTGTTAGGCCCACAAGGTTTTAACGAGGCCCCCTTTCGCCTATATTTAATGGAATAATAAAATCTTTTTGGCCAACAAAAAAAAATTTGAAAATCGTGCAGACGGCCGTCCGAGAAGGCGTAGAGGCGCAGTAAAGGAATTCTAGTTGCAGAAGGAAACTGCCTCTTTCTCCAACTTTTCCACCCCTATAAAAGACCAATTCAAGCACATAATTGAGGAGTAACTTTTGAGACAATCTTACAGCAAGAGGAGCGAGAGAACGGAGAGTCGAAGATAGAGAATTGACAAATCTTCATCATACTCTTCTTTCATCTGTCTTTTCTGAATCTATGTCTTTCAATATTTTTATTATGTTTTTCGTAGAGAACATGAGTAGCTAAGTTTTTTATCTAACATTTTATTATAACCCTATGTGGTGATTCAAACCTATTTTTCTAATATTATGCATGTTTAATTCCATGATTATTTCTTCTATTTGATCTT